GAGGCTCTGGTTGTTCTCATCAACAATCTCATAAACAATCATCCAATGTCTCATTCATCGGGGTCAGACTAAATTACAAATTTAATCTCACATGTAGTCTGGTTTATCAGGCTAGCGATTAATATCATNTTTAAGTCTTTTAAAGTAATCTAAAATACACTGCACATATTCAGCCTTTCATTCAATGTGTTCATGATTCATTCCATTAATTTATTTTTGTCAGTATGTTCAAAGTTTAATTTCATATATTTATGGTTCATTACAGCTTTATCAATTCCTGTTTACCTCTTGAAAATCAATGTCTAAACTTGTTGCCATATTCCCATTAGTTTAGTTTCTTACTTTATATATCAATAATCAACTGTTCTGCTTCAAAATAAAAATGTGTTTCTTTGGAGAATTTCTGAAGAAGCATTGTCTGCTGAGCTTATTATGTTAATGTTATTCATTTCTAAAATCAGCTTTATGAATTTTAAAATTGCAGCAAAGCTGTCTACCATCTTGAGATGTAAGGTGGGATTCTAAAACATATTTTATGTTCGTCTGATAATGGCAAACTGATGATATGTATTTTAAGACGATGTATGTTGTGTGTGCAAGCCTCTGTAGCTAAGGGGTAATGATTTGAAGAGATTATGACAAACACTCAGGAGGAAGTGGCTTGACCAAAGTGCAACACTGAGGGATGCGATAAGCACTTCCTTTGCTGTTAGAGAACGATATACAGTTATATATACGGTTATATAGGTTTTTAAGTTTTGAAGATTTTATACACACAACTGAAGCACATTATTTAGAATCTTAGTGCAAGAAGAATTAAAGTTGTTTCATTAAAAGCAGTGGCCAGATGCAAGTTGTTAAAAACTTAAACAAAAAAAAAATATTATTTTAATGTTCCCATAAATTGATCAAGTGTGAACAAAAGAAATATTTTAAGGAGTTTTCCAACTGTTTTACTCTAAAGCTGCTCAACTTAAGTTATTATTTGTCCGTTGAAACAAAACAATAGTTTAAAAGCAACTCTTTCAAAGGGAACAAACGTTTTTATGTTTTTCAGGGACCTCTTTCAAAAAACGCTTTTGTTAGTAAGCTTATATTTACCATTAATAAAAACTTAAGGTACATTGATAAATAAAACACTTTTATCAAATTTGTGAAGCTAAATACTCATAATCCAAATTAATTTCGAACATTTCTTGAAACTCAGGGAAAGAGCTGAGCACTGTGAAGTAAACTCTATTTTAGTTGCAGAAGTATCGTATCCTCCTTGCATTTTCTGTAAAAACTATGCTTTCAACTAAACAGTTCAAGTCCCTGCCTGCCAAACACAGAAGCACATGCTTAAATTTTGAAAAAGGCCCATGAATTATATTTTGCTGAAGTTAACATGCCTAAGTTTTCAGGTTTTTAATTAAACCTCTCTGTCACCTTAAAGAATAAACAAATAGGAGCAAACATTTAATTATGAAATTCTGTATTATTGGAAAAACAAAAACTGTGGTGATTAATATCATGTTAAAGCCTTTTAAAGCCATCTCCAATACATAGTATATATTCAGCCTTTCCTTCAATTCACTCCATTAATTTCTTTTAGTCAACATGTTCAAAGTTTAATTTCATATATTTATGGTTCATTACAGCTTTATCAATCACTTTTTTATGACCTCTTGAAAATCAATGTCTAAACTTGTTGCATAAGCTGCAGAAAATCAAATATTCCCATTAGTTTAGCTTCTCACTTTATAGATCACTAAGCAACTGTTCTGCTTCAAAATAAAAATGCATTTATTTGGAGAATTTCTGAAGAAGCATTGTCTGCTGAGTTTATTATGTTATTCTTATAATTTCTGAAATCAGCTTTATGAATTGTAAAGTTGCAGCAAAGCTGTCTGCCATCTTGAGATGTAAGCTGGGATTCCAAAACATATTTTATGTGCGTCTGATCATGGCAAACTGATAGTATGTATGTTAAGACAATGTATGTTGTGTGTGTAAGCCTCTGTAGGAAAAGGGTANAACAAAAGAAATATTTTAAGGAGTTTTCCAACTGTTTTACTCTAAAGCTGCTCAACATAAGTTATTTTTTGTCCGTTGAAACAAAACAATAGTTTAAAAGCAACTCTTTCAAAGGGAACAAACGTTTTTATGTTTTTCAGGGACCTCTTTCAAAAAACGCTTTTATTAGTAAGCTTATATTACCATTAATAAAAACTTAAGGTACATTGATAAATAAAACACTTTTATCAAATTTGTGAAGCTAAATACTCATAATCCAAATTAATTTCGAACATTTCTTGAAACTCAGGGAAAGAGCTGAGCACTGTGAAGTAAACTCTATTTTAGTTGCAGAAGTATCGTATCCTCCTTGCATTTTCTGTAAAAACTATGCTTTCAACTAAACAGTTCAAGTCCCTGCCTGCCAAACACAGAAGCACATGCTTAAATTTTGAAAAAGGCCCATGAATTATATTTTGCTGAAGTTAACATGCCTAAGTTTTCAGGTTTTTAATTAAACCTCTCTGTCACCTTAAAGAATAAACAAATAGGAGCAAACATTTAATTATGAAATTCTGTATTATTGGAAAAACAAAAACTGTGGTGATTAATATCATGTTAAAGCCTTTTAAAGCCATCTCCAATACATAGTATATATTCAGCCTTTCCTTCAATTCACTCCATTAATTTCTTTTAGTCAACATGTTCAAAGTTTAATTTCATATATTTATGGTTCATTACAGCTTTATCAATCACTTTTTTATGACCTCTTGAAAATCAATGTCTAAACTTGTTGCATAAGCTGCAGAAAATCAAATATTCCCATTAGTTTAGCTTCTCACTTTATAGATCACTAAGCAACTGTTCTGCTTCAAAATAAAAATGCATTTATTTGGAGAATTTCTGAAGAAGCATTGTCTGCTGAGTTTATTATGTTATTCTTATAATTTCTGAAATTAGCTTTATGAATTGTAAAGTTGCAGCAAAGCTGTCTGCCATCTTGAGATGTAAGCTGGGATTCCAAAACATATTTTATGTACGTCTGATCATGGCAAACTGATAGTATGTATGTTAAGACAATGTATGTTGTGTGTGTAAGCCTCTGTAGGAAAAGGGTACATGATATGAAGAGATTATGACAAACACTCAGGAGGAAGTGACACTGAGCGATGCGATAAGCACTTGTCAATTTCCTTTTCTATTAGAGAGTGCTTTACCTAATCAAAAACGTTTTTAAGTTTTGAAGCTTTCAAGACACAATTGCAGCAAATTATCTAGAATCTTAATGATCACACAGCTCGATTTTCTTTTACAAAATCACACCCCTTTACCAGGTTCAGATCAGGACGTCCTAATAAAGCTTCATGCATAGTTGGCTGACAGGTGTACTGTAATATTAATGGTTTAAACCCAAATACTGAGTCAAATCAGTATATACACAAACAGTAATTCAAACACATTGGATTAATTTTGACGCACTGATGCAGCCTGCTTCTAAACCTTTCCTGTTTAGGGACATTTTAGCTTACAAGTATAATAAAAAGAAAGTATATAATTGTTAACTTAATTCTAAACCAGAAATGTACATGTCCTCAGTATTTGGCAGAATTGTATTTTAGACTATAGAAAGTGGGTCGAAAATTGTGGTTTACTGAAAAAAAAAATGTCATTATGGTTTTGCTAGAACCTTTACACAATTTTTAACTAATGTGGTTGCATGCATTTGTTCATGGTCCATTTAAAATGCCTAAGTTCATGATTAATGGTTCAGGCTGCCTCATCCTTTCCATACTATTTACTTTAATCACAGGTTATTTTATCGCAATGCAATCTATTTTCTGAAGGGCACTTTCTTGTTGACAAACATCCCATTGTAGCAACCTGATGTAGCCACCATCACACTTCATACTGTATTTGGTATGATCTTCCGTGGCCTTTAAGCTTTCCTCTTCTCTTGTATATGTAATTATGCTGTTTATGGCAACTTTATTTTATTTTCATTAGGCTAATGAAGATCTTAGAAGCGTGTTAAAATATGTTTATCAAAAGAGAGCACTTCTCCTTATCAACCACATACCACTGGACCATTACATCGTGTAAAAACCTGCATAAAATAGTTGCATCTTTAAAATAATTCAGAAAAAAGAACCAGACTTATGAAAGCTTCTTTATTCTTTCTATCAATGTGTTTAAGCTGTTAGCATAAAGTAAAAGGGGATACATCATTTAAAGCAAGTACTGGGAAGTAACCAGATGCCTACAACTCCATGATGTTGTAACCTGTGCTACACAAAAATACTCTTCCAAATTTGGAAAAAAAATATAAACAAATATAGGTATGTTTCGATAATTCTGATTGACTTAAGAAAGATATTATAGTAAAATAAGAGATTTTAAAACAAAAGATTAAAACTTCTATAGCACTAATGTGCTAAAATAAAGAACATGATATAATAATGAAAAACACCTGATAAACAATATATTTCTTCTCTGATTTAAAATCTGAGAAAAATATCTCTGAAATAAAGAGGTGCACAAAAGTGGTAACTGTCTAACACACACAAACATGAAACAAAGCTGAGGTTTCCTCTACATGGATAAAATCTATGAAGCTTTGCTGTTATTTTTCAAACATGTTAAGCATTTATCGAAAAACAAATACTCATTTGTCTAAAATATGTAATATCAAAATTTGTTCAACCCTGTTTTTACACTAACAAACTATCAATTGATGCTAATTTCAATGCTTTTGTAAAACAAATCATAATATTTCTACATCTGTGGTACAAAATGGAAACTTAAAAAAAAAAAAAAATTATATATATATATATATATATATATTTTTTTTTTATTTTTTTTTTTAAGTTTCTTGAAAGGTATTTGAAATATATTTGTGTACACATTTCGGAGGCTTTACCCCTCTGAACTACATCAGCTTCTATAGGGAGCCCCAAATAGTATAAAAGAAGAAGTATGGGTGGAACTTTAACATTATTTAAATAACACACTCAGGAAGTGGTGAAAGAGGAACTGACTTGATCTCAAAAGAGTTCTGCACATGAAATGTAAGCCTAGGATCTGCAAAATGAAGAACATGTTCCTGCTCATTATCTGGCTTATATCAGGTAAAAACATTTTTATGCTGGGGAAATATTTTAATAATCAAACAGAAAAATCACTGATACAAAATTTTACTTAATGGTGTTTTCATGTCCCTGAGCAACACTTAATGCTTACTAAAATGGAACTAATGAGCCAAAAATATGATATTTCATTTAAATGAGCGCTAACCCACTGCCTGTTAATAACTAGCTTTAATTCAGTTGGTTTCGGTTGGGCGAGAGCTTTTGGTGGTTTTTGTTATTTTTCAAAGCTTTTGCTCTGAGTATTTTGGAAAATTATTTAAAACTTCATCTAAAACAAATGCCATTGAACCGTTCTGATCTGTAAAAAAAAGGAATTTATTGAATGTGAATGTCTCGTTCATTTCCTACACACATATTTATGTATATTTATGATATACAAGGACAAAAATCTACATATAACAGTTCAAGTTTACTTGGATTATAGAATTTCTGTTGTGGTAGAAAAATGATTACCGGTAATAAATATTAAAGTTTATGATGAATTATGTTGAGTAAACGTAATAACTTATATCTGGGAGGCTTTGATTTTATCCTTAGGTTTCCATGTGCCACATTGATTTTGACATGGTGGTATACAAGTGGACGTAAGGGTAGAGCTGAGATTCTTTATATAAATGATTATTAGGCACTAGTGCGATACGTGCGAAAGGGAAAGATGGACATAGACAGATGCTGATCAATAGATCATCTTCAGGAATTTGTTAAATACAATCCTTGTTAATGCTGTGTTGGTCTATTATTCAAATTTTGTTTTAACTATTTACCGTGGTATTGACTGAGTTACTGGTATCATCTAAATATTTATTTTTTTCTGATCTGCAGGTTTTCAAGCCTCAGCAAAAAGTGAAGGATGTCTGGAAGACTGGACTAAATTTAAATGCAAACAATCAGAATTCAACTTTACAACTGAGGGCATGTGTATTAAACAAATTAAATCTGATAAAAACAGAGACAAATGTCCTCTTGCCCATTATTTGAAAAAATATGAATTCACATTGGACCTAAAAAATATCAAACCAAAAAAACAAAACTATACAGAAACAGAAACAGGTAAATCGTACAGCACTCAACTTTTCATCAACTTTTATTATTTGGTTTATAGATTATATGGTTATGTTTAATTTGTTTTTGTGTGACAAATAGATTTATTATATTAAATATTTATTTTCAATTATGAAGCTAATTTCTATTATACTATAATGTTTTAGTGAAATATAAGAATATGTAATTTCTCTGTCTGGTTTGCAGATATTTGCAAGAAATCACAAAAAAACATCAGATGTGATTTTTCAAAACAACTCCTGTCCAAGATCTGCAACAGCAAAAACATTATCTGTAAAGGATCATCTTCATCATCAGCTCAATTTTCAAGTTGGGAATCATATGCAAAATCCAGCTGTAAAAAGGACTTAGAGAAAGCTTGTATACACCACTGGGAAAGTAAAAAATCAGAGTCAAATGACAATACAAAGAAACTCATTTTAAGGGTTCTAAGTAAAGAATTTCAACGTTCATTTTTTAGGTTTCATTACATTATGCTGAGCTAAGAAAGATGTCTTATATTCCTATTCTGTTATTTTTCACAGATGTTAAAACCTTTGAAAGACCATCAAGCCTTGGAAGTGACCTTACCTACTTTTGCAAATATAACAGAGACGATTACCCAGTAATCTGTAAGGGAGAAGATCCAAATCAATGTAAGGTTGTTGGAACCACTGAAAATAATAACCAAAGGTTTACAATAAAAAAAAATGAAAATAAAAAGAGGAATATAACTATAACAATGAGAGGAATAACAGCCAATGACTTTGGTACATACTGGTGTCGAACAAACCCTGAGAATCAAGAGGACAAACATGAAATATTCCACAGATTAATCCTGTATTTAGGTGAGTCTGAACCCAGTTTGAACTGTTGTTGTGTCACAGAAAAAAAATATTCACCATGCATAAATGACAAATTAAGAAATACTTTTTTTTAATCACATGGTATTTTTAATCACTACAATATTTTTTTCCTAGTTTCGAAGGTTAAGAATCTGCTCATGTGGCAGAAGCAAAAGCAATAACCTGCTAATGAAGAACACAGGTGTTTCTGAGATAAGAGAGGAGAAAATGTACAGGAAGTGGTTTTATTCAGTCATTAATACAGGAAGGGTACTAAATGTGTTTGCAGTGCTGCTCATATTTCCATTTCCTGTATGTACTTCATATCATTGTATTCAAAGAAAATACTAGGAGTGGTTAAACACACAGATATACTTAAACAGAAAGACAGAGTAACACACACACATTTTTATTAGTGATTGCTTAAATTGATTCTACTGAGAAAAATAGACAAACAGAAAGCATTATCTTAACATTGTACTTGGATGCACACTGATGCTGGTTGTAAGGTGTTTGCTGTTTATGATGCTTTCATCATTTCCTGCACAATTTCTGTTATTATTCAGCAGCCGTAGTGATCAAAAGACGACACTTTCAGTCAAAAATAATCATTTTACCCAGTTAAGCAGAAGCATGATGATGTACAGTAGATGAGATTGTCTTTACAGAGGTTAATTATATTTCTCCGATATTTACAATAATAATTGAACTTTCTTTTTTGTAGGTAATTTGAAAAAATTATAAGCGTAACATTATCTCTGTCACATTATAGAAACAAAATCTGCAGCTAAAATTGCTTTATTGGCTCATATCACATAAGATCTGCAGTATTGTCAAGTGGTGCAGCTTTGCGGCACATCATAGTCAAGACAAAACTCAATCGAGCATTAGACAGTTTGACTGATGTGAGGAAAGAAATATTTAATAAATAAAAACATGCTTATGAGCATCATTATTGATTGGATCTTTAGTAGAAAACACAAATCTGTTTACATTTACTATCATGAATAGTTGTATTATGTTTATGCTTTAAGACACAACGTCAAAATCTACTGCTCTGCCTTCGACATTCTCAAAGGTTTTTGGTAAGATAAAATGAAATATTGTGAGTATGGTAAACAATGTTTTATCTCTATAAATGCATTGCTTTTTTATTATTTATTTGTAGCACCAACTTCCAAGTCACCTGCAACCTCTGCTGCAAAAGGTGAGTGAATATTCTTTTTATCTAAAACAATTTACTGGACAAAATTAAAATCATGCCTACCTACCCTAACAGCCTTTTAACTTTCAGGGGTTTTTTTGTTTTTTGTTTTTTTACATATGTCTGATAACATGATTACTGTTCTGCATTATTCTGTTTCTTGCAGCTGAATTAGGTCCAGGGCAGTTAGCAGCAATCATCATTGGAACGGCTGGGCTGCTTCTGTTGGTGATTGTAATATTTGCTTTCTTTAAACGTAAGAATTCACACCATTTATGGGCAAAACATAAAGTACAGCTTCTCACAAAGACAAAATCTAATGTACATAATGTTAATGGGAAAAAGTAAATCACAACAAAACAAGAATAACGTGTGTATATGAATGGACCTTAACAAGCTTTTTAATCAGATGTACCAGTATAGGAGAATGGAGCATATATTTTCTTTAGCTGGACACAGTTAATGAGCACATATGAATCTCATTTTTCATACTTTGTTTTATGCAACAACAATGAACAGATTTTATGTTATCAAATCCTGTCTGTACAAAATGCTTTGGTAATAAGCCACAACAGAAGAGTCACCTCTTCACTCCCAGTGTTTTTATAGATGACCTGAGGGCACATGTAATCCAAGAGAATGTTAAGATATCAAAAAATTATTTTTAAACCTTGTGGGTCAGTCCTGCTTTCAGCTAAAAAAACTGTTTCAAATGTAACTGTTTTGTCTCAAATTCTCACTCTTCTTGTTGGAGGAGCCGTGCTTAGGTATGTAAATCCTGCTACTGGCTAAGTATAGATACCATATAACAATTCAGGGATCTATCCGAAGTGGGCTGACTTCTATCCTATTTGTCACATTGGTCATTCCAAACAGCCTACAGAATGCCTAAAAGGGCACCTTAATCTTGCATTGAAGTGTTAAATAAAATGTTCTAGAGTGTGGCAGAAAAAATGCTTTAATGCTACAAAAGACTGTGTTTTAGTTGCTGGTATGGCTAGAGAT